TCACTTTGGAGACCAGGCTGGCCTCGAACTCACAGAGATCCACCTGCCTCTGCCTCCCGAGTGCTGGGATTAAAGGCATGCGCCACCACCGCCTAGCCATAATCTCTCTCTTAAACCTAAAAAGCCTTTCAGAACTTTCTTTCTCAGTTTCTCTTTCTGTAAGAACAACATTAGATTCACCTGTTAATGATATATATAGATAAATCACCTGTGGTTCACTCTAAGATAAAACTAAAAGACTACTTGGAGCTAGACAAATTCTCTCTGCTAGCACTGTCTCTTTCAAGCCTATATTAGAAAAACCACATCCAGAATTCCCTCTGAAGCTAGATCTTAGCCATACACATGGGAAAGTCCAGGAGGAGGAAGCAATAAAGCTGAGCTGATTCTTCACCTATGCTGCCACACAAGAGACTCTGTCTAGGGGAGGATCTGAGCCAGGATAAGATGGGGAAGGGACAGATTCCTCCCCAAAACATCCTGGACCTAAAGAAGTTTACTGGGTCAAAAAACAGTCAGTGTCTGGTTTCCAGGCAGTGGCTGCAAGGGCATGGGGTGTGCGGGGGCTGCTGGGGTGGGTTGGGGTGGGGGGCTGCTGCGGGGGAGATAAGGCAGATTCAGGGAGAGAAGCCCCTACCTCCAGAAGCAGTTAGCAGAGGAGCAAAGCCACCACTGTGGTGATGGGGACTGTTTGTGAAGAAAAGGATGAGCTGGGAGCAAAGCTAGAGTTGTCTGGGAGGGAGTCTCTCTGAAGAAATTGTAGGAAAGCTTTGTTTTGAGTGCCTTCACTTCTTTTTATTGGCTAGCTGGGGGAGATGAACAAGTCCCCAGGGATTTTTCCTTTGGGCACAAAAGCACCTTCCTTGAATAAGCAGCACTCGCTCCAGTGAAAGTGTCAGCAAAGAAACACATATTTTTTTTTAAAAAAAAAAAAAAAAAGGCAGCTCAGGGAGAACAGACATCTCCTATCTCCAGTGGTGAAAAAGCAAAAATCTTGACTGATACCTCCCATGTTAAAGCTGAAATATGACTTTAGGAACTTTAGCCATGTAAAGGGAAATGGAAGTTGTGGACATGAGAGGCACTATGGGAAAGGTAGTTTGTAGTGGCATGCCAATATAGAGACAGGCAGCTTGGGAAATAAAGTCTGAAACCTAGTGATGCTATAGAGAAAAGCATGCTGGGAAATACAGCATAGACAATACCTGCATGCTCAATTCCTCACTGGGCTCTGCAGGTTGCCTCTTTCAGGGAAGCCATTCCATTGGTGAACATAGGATGGGCTTGTGTGTTTTGAGCCCGAGGGAAGCAACACACTGTTGACAGACAATCCCTGATTCTCTCCTCCAGTCTCTTGAAGCACCCTATGATCTGAAGGGGTGATGTGTAGATGGAGAGCTCTCCAGGTCCCACCAAGCACTGCAGTCTCACAACCCACATATAAAATAATCACTCAGATGCTTATATTACTTATAAACTGTATGGCCGTGGCAGGCTTCTTGTTATCAACTTCTTCTATCTTAAATTAACCCATTTCTATTAATCTATAAGTTGCCACGTGGCTCGTGGCTTACCGGTTTCTTACATGTTGCTTGTCATTGCGGTGGCTGGCAGGTCTCTCCCCCTCAGGCTTCTACTTCCCAGCATTCTCCTCTCTCCTTGTCCTGCCTATACCTCCTGCCTGGCCACTGGCCAATCAGTGTTTATTTATACAAAGCGTAATACATAGCAGTGATGCCTTTTCCATTGCAAAGTCCGGCCAAGGTGCCAGGTCTGTTCCATTTCCAATATGCCACTGTAGGTACTGGGAGTGCCACAGCTCTGAATGGGGCACAAAGCTACAAGCTCTTCTTCTGAGGACAACATGGTTTATGGAGGCACTTCTAGCCACCTTCTGCCCTGGTGATGTCAGACCAACAGGGAGGTGCTGTTGTGAGGGTTGGGTGTGGAAGAACCAAAG